AGAGCAAATGATTGCAAGTTCTACATAAATAGTGGAAAACTAAAGCAAGGAGATACATGTGTGTACCTTCATAAAATCTTTACTAAAGATTCCAATACCAAAAAAAGGAGACTTAACAGAGTGTGCAAACTATCATATAATATCCTCAATTTCACACGCTAGCAAAATAATGCTCAGGAACATCGAATGCAGATTAGGGCCCTACATGGAAAAAGAGCTGCCAGATGTTCCAGCTGGTTTTAGAAAAGGCCGAGGAACACGAGACATTATTGCCAATGCATGCTGGATAATTGAAAAAGCCAAAGAATACCAAAAATAAGTCAGTATGTACTTCTTCGATTATAGAAAAGCCTTTGATTGTGTCAGTCATGTCAAGCTGTGGTATGTGCTCAGAAAAATGGGAATCCCAGAACATCTCGTTGTCCTCATGCGAAACATATATATAGGTCAGGAAGCCACAGTCTGGACTGTGAATGATAGTGAAATAGATTGGCTCCAGGTTGGCAAAGGAGTGTGACAAGGTTGCATACTCTCCGCTTATTTATTCAACCTATATGTGGAATATATATTAAGGGAAGCTGGATTGGAAGAAGCTGAATGTGGGTTTAAAATTGGAGGAAGAAACATCAATAACCTGCACTATGCTGATGATACTACTCTGATAGCTGAAAATGTAAAAGATCTGCAAATCCTAGTACTAAAAGTCAAAAAGCACAAGGAAAAAATACTTCAGACACATTATATGACGATCCAGCTCTCTGGAAAAGACTCTAATGCTGGGAAAATAGAAGGAAAAAGAAGAAGAGGATGACCAGCAGTTACAGAGGCGATGAGTGCACCGTTGGGAGACATGAAAGAACAGGTTAGGGATAGATCGTCTTGGAGAAAATCTATGTATGTGGTTGCTAGGAGTTGAAAACGACTTGATGGTACCTAATCGATGGATTAAATATTGGTTTTTAACTTGTTTTTGTTAGATTGTTGTTTTAAATTGTTGTGAGCTGCCCAGAGTCACTTAGGTGAGATGGGTGGCCATACAAATTCAATGAATGAATGAATGAATGAATGAATGAATGAATGAATGAATGA